CGCGGCGATCGCAGTGCAGCTCGCCGCGCTGCAGCGCTCTGCTGGCGGCGGAGGTGGCGGAGGTGGCGGCGGAGGAGCCACTGGAGCGCGGTCAGGGGCGGGGGCGGGAGCGGCGGGGGCGGGGGCGGGAGCGGCGGGGGCGGGGGCGGGAGCGGCGGAGGCGGGGGCGGCGGGGGCGGAGGCGGCGGAGGAGGCGGCTTCCGTTGCGGTGGTTGGAGGCACAGTCGCCGACTTGGTCGCATCGCCTGCGCCGGGGACGCGCCTGCAGCCGGGCACCTCCGTGGGCGGGAGACTCGACGTGTCACCGGGCGGCGTCGGCCGAAACGTGCGAGGGCGTGCGCGGCTCCGGCGCGGCATGCCGGACGGCCGTCTCTTCACGCCGTGCGGGCGTGTGGGCAGGTGGCGGAGGGGCTGGCGCGGCTCGGCGCGGCTCCTCTCTTCCTCTCTGCGCTCGGAGATGACGCCTTCGCCCTCCGCCTCGCGCTGGCGGCCGCCGCGCCCCCGGGGGCGAGGCCTCTCGAGCGCGTTGCCTTCGCCTCGCCCAACGAGGCCGAGGTGCTCGCCATGGCCGACGCCTTGCGGGCGGCGGGCGGCGGGCCGGGTGGCGGCACCAGGCGTGGCGGGGGCGAGGGCGGGGGCGAGGGCGAGGGCGGGGGCGAGGGCGAGGTGCGAGGGTGAGGGCGGCGCTGCTGCGCGCCGGGGTGCGTCATGTCCTGGTCACGCGAGGGGCGAAGGGGCTGCTGTGGGCGCGCGCCGCCCGCCGCAGCTCTGGGCTGGACGCCGAGGTCTGCTTCGAGGAGCTCCCCGCGCTCGCCGCCACTGTCAAGAGCACGCGCGGCGCGGGAGACAGCTTCGTCGCCGGCGCCGCTTGGGGGCTGCTGCGAGCGCCGACGCTCGACCTCGCCAACACGGACACCGTGCGCGCCGCGTTGCGCGCCGGGCTGCGAGCCGCGCAGCTCACCGTTCAGAGCGACGCGGCCATCTCTGTTGAGGTCAGCGCCGACCGGCTCGAACCAGCGCTGGCCGGTGCGGCGTGAGCGGTCTACCCGGTGGGGAGAGAGGTTTGGTAGCGGGTAGCGCCGTAAAAGCCGTATACGAAGATGCACACGGCGGGCTGCGGTGCACACCGGTTTAAGGTAGATCAACATCTAAAAACTGCAGTACAACTGTATTACTTTGTGCTAAGCAGAGTGTTGATTATTATGCGGTTGTTCCTGTCTCCCGCTCGGCACCGGTGGCTGAGGCGTGAGGGGAAGATCATGTAGGACATGGGGGTCATCTGAACGGATGTGTAGGATTTAGCCTCGCTCTCGCTCATGGTGTTCGCGCTGATGTCCATGTAGTACGGCTCGTCAGTTTCGGCGCACACGAGCAGTGAGAAATGCCCACCGTCCGCCGAATCGTTGTGCTCGGTGCAGATTCCCTTCGTGTGCAGGACCCACGGCTGGGCGTGCGGCGGCAGGTCCTCGGCGATCTGCTTGCCAGCAGCGAGCTCTACGACGAGCTTCTTCAGGGCATCATAGCCTCGCCGGCTGCCCACGATGGCAAAACTGTTCTGACCGAAGAGCGCCTCGCCACCGTGCTCTTCCTTGCTCGTGTTGACGATGGTGGTCACGAGAAGCCGCTGCGCCGAGGTGAGAGTTCCAGCCGACCATCGGATATTCGCGAGCCGGCGTAGAGAAGCGGCCAGTCGGGAGAAGGCCCTCGCGGCGCCTTCTCGCCTTCTCGGCGGAGCTGAGCGCTCGCTTTGGGCGGCCGCGCTTTCTCTTGCTCGCCATGGTGAAAGCAGGAGAGAGCTTGGAAATAAAAAAGCAAGGCCGTTCCGCGCTTCAGCGATTAAACCGGGGCGAAACTCAACTTTCTAGCGATTTGCCTCGCGCGAACCACGGGGTCGGCTCCCCTTGCAGCCTTTCGAGGGGCGCAAAACTTGTGCCCGTGCCGTGACATAACCCTAGTAGGTGCATAGTGTCGCTGTTTTCGAAAGGCGCTGACGGCCCGGCGCGTACCGCGCGACGCCCCGGGCTACCCACCAGTGGAAGGCCTATACCAACCCTTCAAAATGAGCTACCAACTTTGGTACACTCTCACTTTGATATTTTCCAGGTACACACTCAAAGTCCGGAAATCTCACAGACGCGCGCGTTTTGGCCGGCTACCCAAGCGGGTCGCACGGAGACACGGGAAGGCTGCCGCAAGCCGCCTCCGGGTGCGGGGGCCCGGCGCGGCGGGCGGGGGCAACGGCCCGGTCGGTAGCTGGCCGCGCCTCTCCGCCCCGCCCGTCGCCGCTGCACCCCTTGCCGCGGCCCGCGTCGGTGTGAGGCTGATGACTGCTAGCACTCCAAGTGCTCCAGCCTGTCAGCCACGGCCTTGTCTTTGAGGTTCTCTTCGCACCGCTGCTCAGAATTCGGCAATTTGCTGAAAGAATTTTACAAGCAAATGTCTGGCCCGTAACCCGATCCCGAGCGTCCGGCCAACTGGGTGCGCTTCTTAGCTCCCCGGTCCTGGACGTGAGGCTAATGACTGCACTCCAAGTGCTCCAAAACTCCCTCGCACAACACTGGTTGGGCTCAACGAGGTTTGCCTCTCGCACCGCCGCCCGAGCCGCAGCTCGTGATCGATCTCCGCAGCCCGCGCCGCCGCCGCCGCCTCCCTGCGCACCTTTGCGACCTCGCGCTCGCGCGCGGCCTCCCGCTCGGCGCGGAGCTCGTCCGCCGCGTTCTCGGCCCGCTCGCGCTCGGCCGCGACTGCCTCCTGCACGGCCGCCGCAGCGGCCGCCGCCGCGCGGCGGTCGCGATGGCCGAGCTCCGTGACGGCGCGCGAGAGGAGGCCGCGTTGGTACTCGATCTCGCGCAGCTGCCGCGCCGCGAGCCGCCGCAGCCTGACGACCTCCGACGGCGGCGGCGGGCGCTTCCCGCGCACCGCCGCGGCGATGAGCCCGAGCGCGTCCATATCGAGGAGACGCACGGCGCTCGAGGCGCCGAGCCGCTCGTGAGTCCCCATCGCGAACGCGAGGAGCTTGAGGTCGGCGGGGATCTCGGCTGCTGCGGCGGCGGCGCCGCCGCCGCCGCCGCCGCCCGCGTCGGCCGCGGTCGAGGTGATCTTGGGGAAGGCGAAGCGCGTCGCCGACTCGATCTCGAGCGCGCGCATCGCCCGCTCGGCCTCGGCGAGGGTGTTGCCGCTGCGCTTGGACGCTGAGCGGAGGCGCGAGCGGACATCCTCGCGGCGCTTGTTGTAGCGAGCGACGCTGCGCTCGCAGCGCAGCCAGAGCGCACTCACCGCGGAGCTGGCGGACGTGGGCAAGGACATCGGCCCGCTAGCGCTCGCCGCCTCGCAGGCGGCCACCCAGCGGGCAAAGATCAGGGTCTTATTGTCGAGCCCGCCCGTCGCCTTCGCCATCTTAGCCGCCAAGTTGAGGAGGTAGGCGACGTGCGAGAGGGTGAGGCCGCCCTCAGGGCAAGCCACGGCCAGCGCCACGGCGCTCGGCTCATCCTTGGTCGCCAGGGAGGCCAGGGCAGCAGCCACAGCCTCAGAGGAAAAGTACGCCGCCGCGCACACTTTCTCGCGCGGGTCATTATCGGTGTTGTCGGGGTCGTGCGAAGCTACGGCCTGCGAACGGCCGGTGGGCAGACGTCATGGCCGGCATGTACGACCCTTAAGAACCCGCGTACGACCAGAAGGTCGGCTGTGAGGCGAGGGTGAAGGCACAGCCCAGAGCTTGTGGATTTCAGTTGCTGACAGTTGAGGCCGATCCTTCGCGAACTGACGGCAGGTAAGCCGGCAGGTGGGGGGCGGGGGTGTGCCGGGTGGATCCCCAAGCGGGCGAGCCGGGCCCGTGCATAGTTCGCGCTCGGGGGGCGCGCGAGCATGGGAAAGACGCACCTCCATCGTCCTTGCTTACCGGCGCTTTTCGGCCGTTGGCACCATCGTTGATGACAAGATTGCGCGGGACTGAAATCCCAAATCCTCTCAGCTCGAAGGGGGAATTTATTTGTTTGGGGGGTGTTCGACCGGGCTACCACTGCACACTCTCACTCACCTCTCAGCGCACACCTAGAGCTGTTTAACACTAACTTTGGGCCTAACAGTTGCGCTATTGTTGGCTGAAATCCTTAACGTTGTTCAAGTGTTCACCCCAGCCCATGCTGTTACTGTTTGTTACTGTTGTTACTGTTGTTCAGCGGCCAGCAAGCAGAACGGCAAAAAACCCGGGTAAAACCCAAAAATACCTGGGATTTCCCGGGTATTTTCGGGTATTACCCGCACTGGACGCTGGAGATCGTCGTGGGTCACTGCCAGGCCTTCCTTATTGTTGTTCAGCCGGCCTAACGTTAGCTACTGTTGTTGGGGAGCCCCACTGTTGTTCTGTTGTTACTGTTAACACTAGCAACACTGTTCAGCTCCCAACGTTAAACAGCTCTACGCACACCTCCGGGACTCACTCCGCAGCCATGCGCGAGGAGGAGGGACCTTCTGCCGCGCCTCCCTCCGGCTCTGCCGGCCGCGCGCGGCAGTTTGGGTTGCCATGCTGGCCGGGCACGCGGCCTGCCGCCGCGGCCGCGGCGTGCCGCTGCTCCTTGCGCCGCTCGGCCTTGGCTTTTTTCCGGAGGGCTGCCTCGTCTGCGCCTTCCTCGCCTGCGCCCTCCTCCCCGTCCTCGCCCTCCTCCTCCTGCTGCTGCTCCTCCGCCCACGGCGGCGGCGCGGAGTGCGCGGGCGCCGCGGGTGGCGCCGCGTGCCACGGCCAGTCCGGCGGGTACGCGTCCTTGTCCTCGAGCATGACGGTGAAGACCTCGCCGGGCTGCTTGCCCGGCGGAATGATGACCTCGATCCGGTCCCCGCTGGGCGGGCGGACGAAGATCGTGTGCGCCGAGGAGGCGGTGGTCTCTGGCATCGCAAAGGTGTGAAATGACCACGCTGGGTTCTTGATGACGAGTTGCATGTGCTCCATCTGCAGCGAGAGCCGGCAGAGCGACCGTTCGAGGCGCTCGAGGTCGGCGACGTGGCCGGCGTTGCGGAGATCGCGAATGGAGCGGCCGCACACTGCTCGGTACCCCCCCTGCACATCTAAAGTCATGGCCGACCCCGACCCCCCCAGCAGCAGAGGGACCCCCCCCCCCAGCAGGAGCGCGCTGCTGCTGGGGGGGTCGGGACCCCCCCCCCCAGCAGCAGCGCTCTGCTGCTAGGGGGTGCTGGCATCTCTGTACCAACAGCTGTAAGTAAGTACGGTAGCGTTCCAGTCGTCGGCGAGGTGCTGGAAATCGATATTAAATGGCTTGAGGGCGAGCCGCATGGCTTCCACCACGTCGCTGCCCGCCATTGCGGCGACGCGTCGCGGCGGACCTGACAGTTTTGCCGCGCGACGGGCCGCGCGCGCGTTTCGAAAAAAGAAAGTCCTTAGGCTCAGTCGATCGATTTCGACGAGCGAGCGATCCGAGGATCGAGCGGGGGACCGATAGGCTAGAGAGATCAACGCTGATCGGTCATCGTCAGCCGAGACGCCCGAGTGAGTGGCTCACTACACGGCTTTTAGTGTGGTAGTACAAGATAGACTCACATGGTCACAAGTCTGTAGTAAAACGCCAGCACTCGACACGACGAAGGTGTATTGGGCTCGAAGGCGCGGTGAACACAGCCGCCTCGAGCGTACCGCTAAAACACGAGCCGAGGTGGGAGGGGGCGGCGGCGGCGAAGAGGCGGGAGCCGGGAGAGCTGGGTCCAATGCCCTCTACTGCTGGGGGGGTCGGGACCCCCCCCCCCCGCACCAGGATTGTTCTGAGTGTGCGGGCGGCCCACCTATCAATGGGGGGCCCCTCCTGGGGCTGGGGGTTTGTGCCTGGCTCCCACAAGGGATTTTTCCGGGTCAAAATTTTCGTTTAAAATCTAACGCTGTCTTTCGCG